AATATTATGTGGCACTTGTAAAAGTGCCAGTTCCACAGATTGAAGCATTTGAGAGGGCTCATGTGGGACTCAGGGTGATCCCTCCAAGTAAAGTGGTCCCAAACTGTTACATGCTTTTATATACTAACAGAGCAACTTGAATCTGGCCTGTTAAGAAACCTTACAGAACAAATATAGGAGCTTATTTTTCATTGTGATGCAAAAGAAAACCGAAAAACAGTTCTTCATAAGAATGTTGTGATCTTCATGGTAAAGAATGAATTCCCAAGTCAGACATCCTTCCAAAGCAATATGCCACATTATTTGTCCACCGAGTTTGAGATTTATTTGCTCTGAAGGAGTTTTGGAAGAAAATGGCTAGGAAAGACAGTGATGAGATGAGAAGCTTAAGGATTAATGGGTTTATCCCCCATGATGTAATCTTACTCCAATGGCTATTGCCCACCCCCCCCCTTGTAATTACACCACACATTCCAAGAGACACCCCCCCACCAAAAAAAGCCTAATGCACTTCTCTTAAGTTGTATGTAAATGTGCATTTCTCTGAGGTTTAATTCAGCTGCTGCCAAAACATATGTGCCCACAGGAAGACTTTAAGAACTCCACGGGGGATAGAGATATAGAGAAACTGCAGTAGAACATGTTGGCTGCTGTCCATATTACAACACCACACTGAGAACTATTCCAGATGGAGAGGAATTCCAAAGGAGTTCAGACCCTCTGTCGAATGACAAGGCAGTGTATCAAACCAGAGATTAGGGCTGGAGAGATCCCGGAGCAGTTATTCCCCAGGGAATGACATAAAGTAGTCTACCAAAAGCATGCCGTGGAGTATCACCAGATGCAAGCACATAATCTGCATACCACAAACACACACTGGGGTTTGTTTAACACAGTGAGCCATGGCAACTACCCTTCAGGATCTTTCCATCATCCAGAGCAGCTGCACCAAACTCCATCCTGAAGAGCTTGGAAGAAGCTTGCTCTTGTGCTTATATTTTATAAACACCATGCAAATAAAGAAAAGGGGGTGCAAATAAAGAAAAAGTGGGGGAAGTACGGTAGGTTTAGAGCTTGACACAGTATATAAGACAAGGAAAGGTTTCAGCTGAACTATACGCAGGGTTCCCACAGGCAGTCAAACTGGCATGCTCACATGCATTAAAAAATGACAACAGTTTGCATAAAATGCATGTGCTAATTTATGTATAGATGCAAATCTAGACATTATTACTATAGTTTAAATGAAAACATACATCTTCATTTATTTGTTTTGTTATCCTGCCTCCCCCCCCCCCCCGCATGAGTCCAGGGCAGCAAACAGATACACATTTTGAACACAGTAACATTTAAAAGCAAAAGCATTCTAAAATAGATCAAAACATTCTTAAGAGCAGTCACAATTAAAAATCTTCCATTCATTGAGTGCAGTTGCCAGGAACAGTATTCATCAGCCACCAAAGCTGGGTAAACAGGAAAGTTTCCATATTCTCCCCAAAATTTTATAATGATGGGAGTCAGGTGCACTGCACTATGGAGGGCATTACAGGACAGTGAAAAGGCACTGTCACAGGTCAACACCAACCAGGCAGACAGAGTGATCGCAGTGGGGAAAACTGTGACCACAATAACTATTATATTAACTAGACCCAGTGCTTTTTTCCTGGCAGAACACGCCAGAGTGCAGTACTGCCACAAGAGTCCAGGGCTGCCACTTGGTTGTTGCCGAGGAGAAGCCAGGATAGTACTGGGTGGTGGGACATGGCACAGGAAGCAGATTGTGGCACGCAACATCCCTGCAGAGCAGAGGTGGTGGTAGCAGCAAGCGAGCTCAAGGTTTCTCCTCCTCACAGCTGCCATAAAATGAAGGGTCAGATGGAGCCTGGGTGAGCTGGTGGTTTCTGCGCTGCCGCTGCCCCAGACCAGAGCAGCAGAGTGCAGGATGGACTGGGACGGGGGGAAGTGCCCTCCTCCTCCTCCTCCCACAGCCTGCAAGCAATGCACACGTTGACACAGCAGCTCAGCCTCCTTTTCCTTGCATGGCAGCTTGGGGATGGACGCAGGAGAGAGAGAGAGAAGCAATTGACTGTGTGAGAGAAGAGTATGTTTCCGAGTACAATTCAAAGTGTTGGTAGTGACCTTTAAAGCCCTAAACGGCCTTGGCCCAGTATACCTGAAGGAGCATCTCCACCTCCATCGTTCTGCCTGGACGCTGAAGTCCAGCACCGAGGGCCTTCTGGCGGTTCCCTCACTGCGAGAAGTGAGGTTACAGGGAACCTTCTCGGTAGTGGCGTCCACCCTGTGGAACGCCCTCCCACCAGATGTCAAAGAGATAAACAACTACCTGACATTTAGAAGACATCTGAAGGCAGCCCTGTTCAGGGAAGTTTTTAATGTGTGACATTTTGATGTATTTTTAATCTTTGTTGGAAGCTGCCCAGAGTGGCTGGGGAAACTCAGCCAGATGGGTGGGGTACAAATAATGAATTATTATTATTATTATTATGAGGCAATTGAGCGGGGGACGGGAGTGCATGCATGTGTGCAGTGGATCAAAGTTGCATCCAGGAGCCACTGACTGACCACCCAATGGCTTAGCCAGTTGCCCCGAAAGTGAGAGAGCGAGAGCGGGGATGGGGGAGGAGTCTGGCCTCGGGAGCCCTGCCAGCAGGAAAGGTGCCTCCCACACCCAAGCAGGCAAGTGCTGGTGGTGATGGCAACCCACAGGGGAGGCCTCTTCACCTGGGTAGCAGTGCCCCAGTAGATGAGTGGGTGGGCAAGGGAACTTCAAGCAGGTAACCTGCCCACCTTTGCCATACGCTGCCCCCCCCCATGCCTGCTGGTGAGTACCAGTCCTTTTTCTCTCGGGGGGAAAAAAAGCACTCGTTACACCCCATGGCATTAATGGACAGCAGCAAGTTTTTGCTCTGGCTATACCATTTTATGTGTGTTTTAAAAAGATTTGGCATGAACCACACGGTTGCCGAAACATTTCCCACACAAAACACAGATGTGAAGGAGAAAACACACACACACACACACACACAATGCTTTCATTAACACATTCCTTAATATAAACATGGCAGGTATTTGCTTTTTTAAAAAAATGTTCTTCCATTTTAAAATCCAAACATGGTTCACAAAACATAGCTATTGAGGGGAGGGAGAGAGACGAGTTATAATCACAAATGGCTGCTCACAGGGAAGGAAAAACTACCACCACCAAGGAAGTATAAATATGCATAGATGCTTTTTGTCTGCAGAACAGGGGGCACCTATTTTCTTTTAATGAGCCTCGGACATCAATGAATCCATTTAGAACTGATCATTTCAACATTTTGGAAACTTTGGCTGGGTAGCACTACTTCCCTCTCCCCCCCCCCATTTTAAAATTTAAATAGCACAGAGGAGCCAGTGACTTTGGGAGGGTCTCCATGATTATAGCCAAGTCTTCCTCAGAGGAATTTTGACACCCTGTTAATTAGTCAATTTCGAGTAGGAGCTGGGCTCTTTCAGTGACTCCTATTCTGCCATCAGTAAAGTGTGATTTCCTAATAAATTTCCATCAAGCAAACTATTTCTAGTAACTCCCCCTAATTAACACCAGGTTGCTAATAATAAATTAGGCTCTATGTGTTTCTGATATAACCAAGATCTTGTCTGAGCACAAGATATTAACGTCCCCAGAAAAGTAAAACTCCAGCCTAAATTAAGCCTGTGCTGGTTAAAAGGATTTATGTGCAGCCCTGTAAGAAAGGCTTTGAAGATCTTTAACACAGTACATTTCAACCAGAAACCTTTTTGACTGAAAGATTTGTTCTAGGTTGAGCAGTGAAAGGGGATTTATTGTGAAAACACACTGTTGAGTTTTAAGACTATAAATATTACACTAGATTACAGTTTCTTAATGAATGAATGACAGATCTCTTATTTTTGTTTCTTGGTGCATTTTAATGTTAAATTATATTGTTGGTTGACAGAAACCAACCCTCTGCTGTTAAAATGTCAAACCCAGCCTTGATGCCTTTAAGAGTTTGGCTTCTGGAGTTTAATATACTGTTTTGCAAATAGACTTGCATTTGTCTTTAATTGTAGCCTAAACAAATGCAGCAGGGGCAAGATTCCTGTAAAGCTGGCTGTAGCTTTTTATAGTCATATGCAGTGCTCCCCCTTTCCTTGTGCAAACAAGGTAGAAAACAGCAGCACATTCACCTAGTCAAAAGATACCCAGCTCATAAGAATCTTATGAGGCTACTGTTATCACGAAGTAATTGACCATGTTACTATAGATGGTTAAGTATCCTAAGGTGAAATCAGAGAATGCTTTGTGCCAAGGCTAAATACAGTATCAGATAAACCCAGTCAGAGGAGATAGAATTGCAGTTCCTATTTACTCTCTCCAGTTTAGAGAGGACATCAGACATCTTTGCACACAACTGTCAAATACGCTGTTTTGCACCCAGGATTTGGGAAATTAAACAATAAATTATTGCAAACAAAGATTAAAGGGATATGGGGCATCCGATTTAGATTTAAGCATGCTGTGGTCTTGTGGAAACACAGGTTGCATTCGCACAACCAAATCCTGGCTTAATTAAGATGGGAAATGCATGAGCTCCATGCACTTGAAGGCAGGGTATTTATTCTCACCTTGCTCCTCCTTTTGCAGGAGTTAGAAAACAAGCCAGGAAGCTGCAATTAAGCCATAGCTTCCCATTACATGCAGACTAGGAAACTTCCAAGCAAACCATGATATGAAGACATGGTTTAAAGTTGGCTTATGTATGCTGGCCTTAATGGAAGATATCATGTACTCCATGGATCTAGTTACAGATAGGTAGCCGTGTTGGATCTAATCATTCATTGATTTCAGTAGGTCTACTCCAGATATAAAGGAGTTGGATGTCATGCATGCCCTGGTTTATTAAGCCAGGTTTTGACAGTGTAAGCAAAATCACAGAGATGAGCATTTTTATAAATAAATGGGGGGGGGGATAAACTGTAATTCCATGCCTTTATTCATCATGTTGCTGACTTTGCTTTTTGTAACAACTGGATCCAAAGACAACTGGATTTAGACAACATGTTTAAAGGGAGAAAAACAGAGAGAAGCAACAAAGCAAAGCATAACATGCATATCACCAGAATCCATTGACTGGAGCAGAACAAAGCTGAACACAATGATCTAGGAAATCCAAGAGCTGTTTCTATCTGTCTTGCTTCTGAATGTCATTGCTCCCCCACTTCTGAGAAATACTGCAGAAGACCAAAGTGCAAGTAGTCCCAGATTTTGCTTTAGCTCTCTTACTACTGGAACTTTAAATATTCTGTTTGCAGATAACTGTGTACTGGCTTATTACAATATGCAAAAACATCTTAGCGCAGCTAAGATTTTACTTAACTTAATGCCTGATGCTCATAAACAGTTTGGGTTTCAGCTCTGCCTTCTGAAACAAGCTATTTTCTAAGTGAAGTGCTCCTAAACTTGCATACAAATGTCCTTTTCTCTGTTATTTTACGTTGTTGTTGTTGTTGTTAGCTACTGGTACATTTGGAGACTACCACTTGGTGGAACTGCTTGATAAATTCTTGGCATTGTCCACTAAGCCGTTTTGAATATTATTTTTCAACTTGTAAGTTTCCCAGCCAATTGCCAGGTCGTGAACTTTGCCACATCATATATGTGTAGAGAATGAAGAAAACGACACATCTAAAAGAGTTTAGAAGTAAAGCTTAAAAGAATCATATATGTATTTATAGAAGAATTTCATCACCAAAAAAGTAGCTTGTGAGAGATACTGAATTAAAGTGCACTGCAAAAACCTTGGTCACTGCTATTAAAAGTATGGTAGGAAATATAACTTTAATTCCCATGGACTTTACTTGTCTCTTGAGTATATTTATATTTTTGGGTGGTCGTAAGTGCTTGGCAGAGCTTACTAGATCCCAGGTTAATAATGAGCCATGCTTTAAGGACTGTATCCAACTTAAGTTCTAGAACAGACCTACTGGAATAAGTTGGAAGGGACCCCGCAATGCAAGAACCTAAGTTAGTCATGTCTTTTTATTTCAGTGGGCCTGAGCTCAGTACAACTAATGTTGGCTATAACCCTTTGTTTCTATTTGTTTATAACAGAAACCAGTTTAACACAAACAACTATTAACCAGGTGGGGTATGCAGCCACTTGGTCCAGCCAGCTAAACTGTCCTGCCATGTAGCAAGGACAGAACAATCAATAATGTGCACATGAACCAAAACAAGGGGTTCAATTTCCTCATCCTATGTGAGAATCTGCAACATGCGTGCTTCCAGGGCATGGGACACTGAGCAGGATTTGCCATGGCACAACAACATAGCCTAACATGTAGCTGAGAGAATCATGAGTCACCATTTTTGACTAGGGGAGTGGAAGCCAGGTGTCCAAGTATAAACTGGCATGTGGCCACTTACAAGTCAACGTTGGCCAAATAGCTTAAAAACCACATTCATTCTATGCTTCTGAAGTTTAAAAGCTAGAATACATAAACTTTATATACCACTTCACTGGAGTGAATAAAGCTGGAAGTGGAATATTTCATGCCCCACAGTCCAGTCTGTGAAGTCACACAATGTGACAAAGCATTTCATAATTCAAAGCAACAGTTCTTTGTTTTGTAGTCATTCTTCAGAAGTGACTGAAAACCAAGGCAAGCACAGCTAAACTGGCTCCTATGATCAGCTGGAAAGGATTGATTTACTTTTACTTTAATTAAAAAACCACACACCCCAGTTTGGTAGCATGGCCCATTAATCTTCTATGTAGATTCCACAGAAGCCAACTTATTCTTTCAACGGAACACATAAAATGTATGTGCATATTCACACACTTATTAGTCTTGTTTGGATGACTAAAAGTTACTCAGAGGTTGCAGACTAATTGTTTGCCCTTATTGGAATTTCCCAGCTCCTCTTATAGTAGGATATGCTTTAGTAAACAAGTATGGGGAATTTGTAATCTTCCTGAAGTTGTTGGACTCAAATACCTATCAGCTCCAGCCAGCTATCCCAAATGTGAGAATGATGGCAACTGTAGTGTAACAACATCTGGATGGTGCTACTTTTGCATCACAGTAAAAATTATTTCCCTTCTTTCCACTTTCAAAGTGATAAATACTTTGCTTTGCATTTCATTACAAAATCATCTTCCTAACTCTGGAGAAACCAGAGGGATTGACATGCGTAGAAAGAACGTCAACTAATTTATGAATCTATTTACAAATTATGGCAAGCAAGCAAGCAAGCACCTGTGTTAAAATGGTAAATCTATATAATTCACAATGTCCTAACACCACAGCAAAAAATATTATGTTTATTTTTATTTGATTTACTATGCTCTAGTGCAGTGAGAGTATTGCATCTAAGAAAGCTGACATTGTTTCATACCTCACCCTTCCCTTTTCTGTTACACCAAAGAAGTGCACACAATAAATAAATATGTGCACACAATAAAGTAAAATTATATACAAGAAAGTATAAGATGTGATCTAACGTAACCCAAATCAGACTTACCCCACCCCAATATTCATCAGTCATTTTCTAGAAATATTTATGACATTTTAAGAGCAGGTAAGTTGCATGTTCTTCCTCTGCACTCATACAAGTTATACTCTGCATGGCCAAGTGTCTCATTAATTGGTTAATAACATGTTAACTCTTCCCCCCACATCTTTTAAGGGAGAAAATGAATGCAAAAAGGCAAATATTTATACAATGTGGGAGCTAAAAGAATTGGCTTAACACTGCTTAGTTTCAAATTTCCTAATTACCTACAATAATGAATACTCCCTTTTGTGCCAAACAGTTTCATGTTGTTGGTTATATTTCTGAAATGCATATGATACATACCAGTTAAACTGATTAACTGGACCTCCTCCCTCTCTCTCCTACCTAAGGAAGCAGCAATAAACCCACCTTTAGTTTACCACTAGTGGCACTTAAATACAAATGCAAGCTGAGCTACAAAATGTGTGATTGAAAAAATATCGCCCTTTCTTAAAAAGAAAAACGAAAGAGCCCACCCCACAAAGTCCCAAAGGTTTGCTCTCACTAAGAGAGAGTGTCCATCTTCATTTGTCTGACAGTACTACTCTAAGTCATTTTAAATCAGGGGTGGGGAACCTGTCGCCCCCTCCCCTGCTCTTATTGTTATTTTATTATTTATTAAATTTGTATGCCACCCTATACTCTCAGGGCGGTTACAACATAAAATCGCTATATAATAACACAACATACATACTTGAGTTCCATCAATCTCAGCTAATGTGGCCAATGGTCAGGGATGATGAGAATTTGAGTCCAGCAACATCCGCAGGGCTCTAAATGCTCCTTGTTGTATTACATGAAACAGTCATAAGCTTTATTCCTTCCCCACCCCAATCTCCGCTTCTACAATTAAAAAGTCTAGATAAATACTTCAGTAAGCCTACTGAAAACCAAAACCCAGGAACTTTATTTCCCTGTCAATATCTATTATTCAGCAGCCCCCAGAGCTTCAGATGTTCACAGAGTGGGCATGTTTCTTGCAAAGGGGCTTGTCCTTCTTGGAGAAAAAAGTGTGGCCTTCCAAACTCTCACAACACACCTGAAATGAAATTCAAAAAGACAGAAATGTTTCTCGTTTCAAAAATTAGCACATCGGTTAATAACAATGTAGGTGTTTTAGGTGCTCATCACGCTGAATTCTAAACGAACTAGTTTTTGTTTTGTTTTTTTGCTTTTAACATGAATAAAATATAAGTGGAATCTGCAACAAAATGTTGCGGTGTAGAGTGCTCTAGCCAGTCATGCTCTCTTTATGGGTGTCCATTCCTTTATCCTCCCATTTAACCCAAACTAGCATTCCTTGGCTACTTGAAGATGCTCAGTCTTCTACTGAACTGTTTTTGGGTCCCCTACTTTAGGATGCTTTTTTCCCTAAGCATACTTTTTGCAAACACTGGGTTTCCCCCACAAGGCTGCTGATGCGTCTCTCTCATGTGTGTGTGGCTGTCTTGCCTCAGCAAAGATCCATACTTGAAAAACGAATTCACTATTGAACTGATTTGATTCAGTGATGGCTTTATTCTGTGAATGTTCTATTGTTGTTAGAAGCCACCAATAACCTTTCACCTAGGAAGGTCAGCCTCAGGAGAGGTTTTCTGGGACAACCAGGAGCTACAGTGGGAAGGATGGGGTGGCAAATGCCACTAGCTTGTGCTCACAATGGGTTGGATACAACTTGTATTTTTGTACTGCTCTTCTCCCAAGGAAAAATGTAAATGGGCTCCGGCTTCCCTTTTTTATCCTCCTATGTTCTCTATAGGGGACGCGGGTGGCGCTGTGGGTAAAACCTCAGCGCCTAGGACTTGCCGATCGCATGGTCGGCGGTTCGAATCCCCGCGGCGGGGTGAGCTCCCGTCGTTCGGTCCCAGTGCCTGCCAACCTAGCAGTTCGAAAGCACCTCTGGGTGCAAGTAGATAAATAGGGACCGCTTACCAGCGGGAAGGTAAACGGCGTTCCGTGTGCTGCGCTGGCTCGCCAGATGCAGCTTGTCACGCTGGCCACGTGACCCGGAAGTGTCTGTGGACAGCGCTGGCTCCCGGCCTATAGAGTGAGATGAGCGCACAACCCTAGAGTCTGGCAAGACTGGCCCGTACGGGCAGGGGTACCTTTACCTTTTTATGTTCTCTATGAACATAGAGATAGTGACTGGGCTCAGGGGCACCCAGTGAGCTCTATAGTTGAGTTGGGAATTGAATCTCCATGGTTTAAGTCCATCTAGGAACCATTAATGTAGGAAGCGCCTGCATGCAAATAAGATGCTCTACCACTGAACTACAGCCCTTCAAACAGAAGACTACAAACTTGTATGTTTTGGCAACTGATGGGAACAAATCTGAATGATTAAAGTGTTTTAAGAAAACAGTGTCAAACAAATTCACATCAAATATATCTTTAAGGGGAAAAACAAACAAAAAAAGGCCAGCTTTACACAATAGCAAAGTGCTCTCTTAAACAATTATGAAATAGCCATAACACACACAAGATAACACTATTAAAAGAGCATTTCAGAAGTTACTCCTATCTTATTCAGGCTAGCAATAGCATTGTTGCCATTGATAACCAAGTTTTTATACTTACTGAGCACACAAAGCAGGTATCATGCCAAGTGTGGCCCAAGGCTTCCAGGAACCTGTCCCCAGCTTCAATGGGGAATTCACAGCCATGGCACATGGTCCCAAAGAGTCCATAGTAATCTGTGCAGGCAGACACAAACATGGCCACTGAACAAAATGTCTCAACTTGCAACAAACACTACATCTGAATAAATGTCACATAAGCACATAAGTGCTCAAATAAGACACCATAGGTAAGGTATGCCAAGATTTAAGAATTGAGAACATGATCCCCTTTCCCTTTGGCATTCCACCACTACATAAGCGACACCCAATGTTGGTCATGCATGGAGACTGAAACCAATGGGCTAGAGCAGTGTTTCCCAACCTTGGGCCTCCAGCTGTTTTTGGACTACAATTCCCATCATCCTTGACCACTGGTCTTGCTAGCGAGGGATGATGGGAGTTGTAGTCCAAAAACAGCTGGAGGCCCAAGGTTGGGGAACACTGGGCTAGAGCATCTCCTGTTTTCAGTGGGTCTCCTCTTTGTACTACTTAAGTTGGATTATCACCCTATGGCTTTTCCTTAACTGAAGAGAGACACATCAGAAAAACAAAATTCTGCAGAATTGTGGAAATGCAATACTTTTCTTTCTTTCTTTCTTTCTTTCTTTCTTTCTTTCTTTCTTTCTTTCTTTCTTTCTTTCTTCTATATCCCACCCATGATTCCCCCTTCAGTCCTTACAACAACCCTGGGAGGTAGGTTAGGCTGAGAGGCTGAGTGTCTGGCCCAAGTCACCCGGGCAGCTTCATGGCCAAGTGGGGATTTGAACCTTGGTCTCCAAAGTCCTAGTCCAACACCCTCACCACTACACCACACTGGCTCTTTATCTGCCAGAACCATTTTTATTTATTCATTAGGAAATTCATATACCTCCCTTTCATTTGTGAGAACTGTCAAAGCATCTCACGTAATCAAAATACAGTAAACTAAATAATAAAAATGTAATCAATATAAGCACATCAGAAACAGACAGCAAGGAAACCGTTCCATTTTTCTTCAAGGAATCCAACACAATACAGTCCTACAACAAAAGCAATCTCAGCATATGGCTATAACTCTCATCGCCCTTCTCCCAGTGACCAACTCAGTTCCTTAAGATCATATGGACGCTACTTCTACAACTTCTACAAGGGTTTACTAAGTTTGGTATAACTTACTACTCAAACAGAGCTCACTTTAAACCTGAAAAAGTCCTCTCCATTTCACAGTATCATATTGAAAATGGGTGCACGCCTATTTAACTTGGCTGCTGTTTACAGTTTCAAGAGGTTTACAAGCTTTTCTACAGAAGACAGAAAACAGTAGCCAGGGCAGATTGAAAAGCTTCTGTTTTCCTTCCCTTTCAACCCCAGACACACAGTCTAAGGTTTTTCTCCTGTTACGTTAACCATGGTAACAGCAGCCTGAAGTAATCTGTGCACAGAAAATTTACAAAGGACAAGTCAGTGATGTCCTGTATTGAAGCTTGTTCATCTAATTTCCAGTCTCTGATTCCACAGAGAAATCTAGCTTGAAGGATTGCTGGGTGCAAAACCGGTGCCTTTAGCTTAGACATCTAACTATTATTTCTGTATTGCAGCTTCACTACTTCCACTCAATGCCACTGAGCTTGGTTCCCAGGGTTTACACCGCCATCTACTCTTAACTACTGCCAACTTTGAGGCATACCTTGGGTTCACACAGCAATGTGTTATCCTGTGCCAAAAAGACAGTTCCTTGGTTTTGCCAATCCTATGTCTTGTTGGGGGTGGGGGAATAGCTTACCACTAACCCACTCAAAAACACAGGAAAAGCAAACAATTGTGATTTTTAATTCTACATTTTTTGCATTTTTAATGATAAAAATAGGGGAACTATTAAAAGAACAAAGGAGAGCAATAGAGAGCGAGAGAACACAAAGGAAAACAAAATCGTTTGCCATTGAAGGAAGTTCTGCAAAGCACATTCCAATTCAGACATGTGTGAACATGTTACTTTGGGATTCTTACTTTAGTATTCTCACTAGCATCTTAAGCAGTTACTAATGACCAAGATCCAGGTTAATGAAGTACAGTTTTCTGTGACAGCTAAATAAAAACAGCTGAAAAATACCAGCTGCATATTTCCCTTTCTCCATCAGAAAAAGAGTTCTTCCATTACAGGAAAGAAACCTTTGGATCTAACCCTATATAGATAATCAAAATAATGACAGAAATGAACCAAATGCCATTCCCCCCCACTTTTCCTACCCAATCAGGGACTCCAAATTTACTTAAATCTGATTTTATAGTTTCAACTGATTTTTACCCTTTAAATCTATTGTCTTTTTTAGACACTGCTTAGAGGCAATTGGAGTTAAGCAGTATATAAATTGTTTCTTTTAATCAGGCTTCCTCAACCTCGGGCCTCCAGATGTTTTTTGCCTACAACTCCCATAGCTAGCAGGACCAGTGGTCAGGTATACTGGGAATTGTAGTCTCAAAACATCTGGAGGGCTCAGGTTGAGGAAGCCTGGTTTAAACAAACAAGACAAACTAGGGAAGCTCCATCTGTAAATGTTTCAAGTACTGGTAACAGCAAGGGATGGGTCTTGTTTTATAGAGGAAAAACATGATGCCGATGTAACTAACACAAGCATACTGATGCAAGTAAAATACTCACCTGTCTCACAGTAGGGATCACCATCCTCCAAATGGAAAACGTTGTTGCGTATGGGCTTGTGACAAGCCACACACACAAAGCAGGAAACATGCCAGGTTTGTTTCAAGGCATTTATTACTTCCTAGTTGCAGGAGAGACAAAAAAAACCAACAACACCATGTTGATCACTATAGGACTGGAATGAGATGGATAGCTGTTCTCTTGACCATGAAGAAACCCTTTTTTCTTACAAAGAAGGAAAGAAAGGAAAGAAACTGGAGAAAACACTGAGGAATGTAGGTCTTGAACCAGATTTTCTGAAGTTACTGCCATTCGTAGTCTGAGAATCATAACAAGGGAGCAAGAGACGGGTGAGTTCAGGTCGCCCCATGCCTATGAATTTGAACACATAATTTGAACAATTTTTCTGCCCTGAATAAATTTCATACCTAAATGTTTTAGGTAGCGGGTGCTTATTATTTTACAAGCATTTCAGGCAGAACGCCACCTGGGGTATTATGATTACAAATTTCACAGGATACTAGTAAAGGCTTCCTAGAGACATATTGGTTTGTTTCTGTGCTGTTATGTATTTTGTGTTCTCATTTTTTTATTTGTATGTTGTGATCTTTAGATGATAGGCTGTGGAATGCCCTCCCATCAGATGTCAAGGAAATAAACAACTATCTGTCTTTTAGACATCTGAAGGTAGCTCTGTTTAGGGAATGACGTGCTCTGGTCCATGGGGTCACGAAGAGTCAAACATGACTAAATGACTAAACAACAACAATTCTGTTGGGAGCAGCCCAGTGTGGCTGGGTATAAATAAATTATTATTATTATTATTATTATTATTATTATTATTATTATTATTCACATTTTAATCATCATCACAATTCAGAGATTATGAAGTAGGCTATTGCATCATTCCCGCCAGCCTCCATCCCATTCTTTTCTGAACTTAAATCTAATCAGGGACATGATAAAAAGTCTTTCCACTGCCAGTGTATTATTTAATCCTGGATAAGGTACAAGAGAAGGCATTTCCTGACTTTCTACAATTCAGTCTTTTAAACGTGGTTACGAGGTTCCACGGTTAGGTCTGCATATGTCCCAATACTTCTGAACTGATCTAGTGTTAAGGATTCCAACATCTAGTCAAAAACTTTAACAGGACAACTTTATTACTTACCCCAAGTATCTTCCTCTGGCATCGGGCACATTCAGGGGCAAGGAACTTCTCATAGCAGCCCTCACAGTAAAGAGCTCCCTTTTCTTCCACAAAGCCAATGTAAGCCATGGAGGTTTTGCAGTGTGCACAATTAAACTCTTCTGGGTGCCAAGATTTTCCCAAGGCCACCAGGAAAGGCCCTCTGTTTTGAACAGAAACAAAATCATCAAATGCTATGCAATTAGAAGCAGGGAAACGTGGACAATTTTCACATTAAGAACATGCCGCTAACATACCTTAAAAGCAAAGCTGACTTATAAAAAATATATATACTGAGAGAATGAAAAGGTACAATGGAATGTAATTACATTATTTTCAACAGCTAGTTTAAAGGTTTTAATAAGTTAGATTTAACTCTGCTAACAATGCCTGCCCTGGTATGATCCATTTTTCAAGGGAAAGGTGTTGAATTAGCATCTCTTAAAAGACAAGACTGTTGAAGAAATTAAAAACTGAAGATGTTGGAATGGAATGTTGGAAGACATCTGAGGGCAGTCCTATTTAGGGAAGCTTTTAATGTTTGACGGACTAATGTATTTTAATATTTTGTTGGAAAACCTGCCAGATAGGCAGGGTATAAATAAAATTATTATTATTATTATTATTATTATTATTATTATTATTATTACTACTACTACTACTACTACTACTACTACTACTATCATTATTATGCGGTTTTGTGAAAAGGGCAAGCTTAATGCAACAGGGATGGCCAACCTTTTGTGGGCCAGAGACACATTCAGAAATCTAAATGGAGCACCACAATATGCCTATTTCACAGAATGAAACAAGTGATGCTCAGAATTCTTCCCCCTTCCCACAAAACTCCAGCAAGAAACAAGTAAAATACAGAGAAAAAGAAGCAGGTGACACTCCTGAGAAACAAACATCATCCCCCAACAAACACCTCTCCAATTCTCAATTTTGAATAATAGAAATTTAGAGGGGAATAGTCCTTGGTGTGCACTCTGTCATTTCCTGGATGCAGGTGAGAAGTCTGCCCAGCCAATGGAAAACTCTTGAAGCAGTCCTGTGTGTGGTATGCAGCCCCTTTTCATCAACTCCAGCATCAAATTTATTTACAAGTCTTTGGCTTAACCAGTTTCCTCTGCCAAAGAACGGAGGCTATCTTTTAAATACCAGCCAGATCTAGAATTCCTGCTGCATGTTTGCACAACCATTCAAACATCTAGAAAAAGAGGGCACGCTATTTCATTTAGAAAATTGATTTTTGTCTATCTATGGCCTGTTGGCGACTTATTGCAAAGGGTTTTATTTATTTTATTTTTTTTACAGTTCTCTATGCAGCTTTAAGAGGATGGTCCAGAATTCTATAGACCCCCCCCCTGCTGCCATGTGATTACCTGAACAGTGCAAATACTGACCTAACCCGATACCCTCCAACCTCTGTACAAGCACCTTTTTACATCAATGCCCTTTCAGTTATGTAGCGATCAAACAATACAAGTCCTTATGTACAACAAAGTGCTCCCTTCTCACTGTGTCAGCAAAGGCTAATTTACCAGACTCATTAGGAACACAGAAGAGGTCCTTCTGGCCCCAGGTGGAATCAAGTTTCCAATTGTCTGCTCTAAAATGATAGACTTGGATGCTAATGAAGTAGGAAGGGAGGAAGTGTTTTTACACCACCTGGTACATTTAGCAAGCAGTTTTTTTAAAATACTTGTTATATTTAAGTTTTCTGCTGTGATTTTACAGTTTCGACATTGCAAAGTGAACCGCTCAAAGCAGTACAAAAGTCCCAATTTAAGGGGGTGGGGAAGCAACTGTTTTCTTCCAGTATTCATGACTTCTGCAGTTAAAAGTGCCATGTTTAATGCATGGAATCACACCAAGAAAAGACCACAAAGTGATTATAACATTACTTTCACTGATCCAGAATTTAATACTCATGCTCTGAATAACATAATGTGAATTGCAACACGGGCCAAGAAAACATAAGTGTTAAGTACTGGCTGTCAGTCAGTGTACTAATTTCAGTCTCTCCCCCGTCCATTGTACCACTTTGAAGTATCAACAGAACTTACATCTGAGTGTACACGCTTAAGATCCATGCTAAGTCCTTCAAATGTTTCCCTAGTAGAAGAACTGTAATCATTTATAGGACATGCCTTGTAGTCTCCATTTATTAATGAATAACAACAGTTTGGATGAGGTTTAAGCCTGCTTCAGTGATTGCTTCCTGCACTCAAATTGCTTTCTGTTACTATAGTTGTGGTCAGGTACTCAGAACCAGTATTACTTTCAGAATTTTTAGACACGGATGTGTTCCCCCATGGATGAAAATATCCAATATTTCCATATCCAGTGTTTCCACATCCAATGTGAGCACTTTCTTCGATTTGTATTGTTCAAACAGTATCTGAAAGGGCACTGATGGAAAAAGATTGCTGGAGTGTATCAAGTTAGTGTCACTGTTTGCTCTGTTCCAGTAACCAAAAGGCAACAACTCTGGCCTGATTTCTTTGAGTTAAATGAAGATAATATAAAAATAAAAATCACATTTTTATACTGCATTGCTTTTTCATTTCCTGTGTCAGGCAACACTTAACTCCTTATTTATCTTGGGGGATTCCCCCCCCCACTCTTTTTTAGCAGCTGACAAAGCCTATGATAACTTTGTTTTAGCACGAAAAACCTTAAAAAAAACCCATTGCATGTAAACTACACAAAAATACATATGAATTTGAAAGTGATAGCTAACTTAGTTATTCTGACATTCAAAGACATGCCATGTTGCATGAGTACTTGACTACTGTCAAAGAACACCCCGTCAGATCCACATTACAAATATTTTGTAGATTTGTACATATGCAATAGGCCTCCCCCCTCCCCCTGCAATGCTCCCTGCCAAACCTTGCTCTGGGGTGGCTGGCTGAACCCATGGAAGAGCACACAGGGTGAGGAAAGGGGATATTGTTTTGTCTGGGAAGCTGAAATGCTTGCACTGACAGAGTGATCGCCACGGCGCTACGTTGAATTTGTCATCTGTCTTAGGTTTCAATGCAAAAAGAAGGATTTTTTTAAAAAAAAAACTAGGCCCAGGAAAGTATCTATGATGACTAGATGATAACTTGATCAATAATTAAGAAAAGAAATTAAAAAGTTATGAGGTGGCCTCTCTTAAATTTTGGGAGCTGGCATTTCATGTTTATTTTATGTCTCAGTGTAAAGTAACCAAGTCTACAATGCAGTTTGGCTGCAAAACAGGTGTGCTGTGGAATGTCACTTGATCCAGCGCTTACCTTTTCATAGGTAATACTGCCCCAAAGGGCATGAACTGTAATTATGCTAAAACCTCAACCCTGAAGGCTATCACAAGTTTCCCAAACCACTGTAGTGCAAGAGTGTACGGAGAACATGATATATTGATTAAGGTATTGTCAGATGGCTTCAGTGCATATCCTTCTCATCTGGTGTTTTCGGCTTCCTTTCATTTCCTGAATAAAGCACTGGGATAATTTGCCTGCAGATACTGTGGGCATCAATTACACATTGCATCCATACCCATGCAATATATTTTATAATTCCCAGCCTAGACATTGTGAGCATTAATTATGCTTTGTTGATCCTCCTACGTTTTTCTGATATGACTGATCATGGAGAACTGGTGATACAGTTCATGGACTTCATGGATCCTCCTTGGGTTGGCCCAGAGTTCTCAGAGTGGGGGCCAGGTACGGTTATTGCTTGTCTCCTCGTAATTTTCCTTATGGAATCATGAAAGTCTCAATTCCATTCAATGCACAAGAGCCAGCTCAGCTAAGTCATATGAAGGGGTGGAGTAATCATTTTCCTTGACACCCCTACGGTTTCATCATTTACTTGATGACTGGCCACAGTTAAGAGTTCCACTGTGAACTTACTAATCCAGGCAGACAATAATAGCTCTGTAACCTGCCTTGGGGATTTGGGATACCTGTCACTGACAAGGTTGTTACAGAAGGCAGTGCTAGAGCGCAACCTGCAGGCTGTCAATCATTGTTATTACATGGGTTGAACTTGAAGACGACTTGTCAGAAGCAGTCAAACTCCTAAGGAGCTCGTGTAAGCATAGTTCTAGCAATGATTCAATTGTTTGTTTAATTGCCATTTAAGTTTGATAGAGGCGGTATTGTTTAGTTTTATTTTACCTGTTCTGGCCTTCAAAGAAATATTTGCTACTGCATATTTCTTGTTTTATTTCCATATCACCTGCTATTTGCTTTTCACCTTGTTTACCTTCTGGGTCTGATTGCAATGAATACTTATTTGCTTTAAGTTTCACTTCTGGTGTCTCCTGCTCCTTGTGCCAATGTCACTAAAAACAGTTTCAAAAAGTGTCCATAGCTACTGGGAGTGTATGATATATGCAGTTTATATTTATGCTAACTTCCTTCTCAGATTCAAATTATCATTCAATAATGTGCAACTTTGTTTTTTCTAATATGAATTACACAAACATTAACTATATCTATATATACAAGCTGTTTCAAGTAGAGTTCTAGAAACACCAGCTAGTAAAACTTATACAGTGGTAACTTGGGTTACATACGCTTCAGGTTATATACGCTTCAGGTTACAGACTCTGCTAACCCAGAAATATTACCTCAGGTTAAGAACTTTGCTTCAGGATAAGAACAGAAATTGTGCAGTGGTGGCACAGTGGCAGCAGGAGGCCCCATTAGCTAAAGTGGTGCTTCAGGTTAACAGTTTCATGTTAAGAACAGACCTCCAGCACAAACAGTTGGGCCTGGTGAGCATTTAAGGTCCCCAACCCTAATCTGCGGGTTGCCATCTGATTGGATTTTATTCTGATCCTGATCTGATTTGAGGATGTATTGAGTGTGTGATTTTATGTTAATGTGTTATACATTTGATGTTAGCCGCTCTGAGCCCGGCTTCGGCTAGGGAGGGCGGGATATAAATAAAATTATTATTATTATTATTATTATTATTATTATTATTATTAAGTTCTTAACCCGAGGTACCACTGTAATTTATAATGTCTGTCGGGTTTTTAAGAGAAGACCTGGAATGGTCTTGCCTATGGGCTAAGAATACTCAGGTGTAAAAATCTTGTAGATTAAACTTTAGAAAGCCTTCACCTCATGTTAAAAGGGGGGAAATTACAAACCTAATTACTTGATTGCAATGAGCACACATTGGAGTTCGCTTTCCTGCCGGGATATGCTCTGCCATCTGAACCAAAGTGTCTTCATCTGTTGGCAGAGGTGGTGCTGCTGGACTTTTTTCACTTGGCACAGTTGCTCCGGGTCTTCCACTCTTGTCTGATGCCCATCCACTTCCAGCTGCTATAAAACAAAATGGAAGGAAAACTTTATAATAAACTATGCTTGCAATGATAAATATGAGTAACCTCAAAGAAGTTTTGAGGCATATCATATGTAATGATTAGTACAGATTGCATAATCTTTACTATTATAATTACAAAGTAGTTTATTTCAGGTCATAACTATAAACCCTTATTGGTTTGTTATAGTGCAATAAGAGCTCTTAGGCAGCAATCCTATTTTATTGTTTGTTATCAGTGCTTTATTTAGTAAGTAAGAAAAATCTGGCCCTGGTACTCATATACTGATAAAAGTGCTGTGCGTGCCAGCAAAAAATGGTTGCCATGAACAGCAGACAAACAAACAAACAAACAAACACACACACACACACACACACACACACACAGGGGCTGCTACTCCATACTGGTGAGAGTTGTTGCAAAACAGCATCATCATCATCATCATTTCCCATGGCAGCTGAGAGCAGCAAAAAGCATCAAAACCCACCTAAAAAATACATTGCTGAATCCAAAATGTCTAAAGTTCTTTTGGAATCCAGGAACCATACACTCAACTATTAGTTCAAGAAAAGGGTAGCTATGAATGGAAAATGCGGGATGGGTGGGTGGAGAAGTTACTGGTTTTGAGATTATGTATGTGAGATTAATTCGTTTCTCTATTAAAAGGTCATCTTTCATCTTTTGTTATAGTGTTAATGAAATCTCTTTTTTTAAAAAAGAACTGTACAGGTACATGGACATAAGTGCCATTTAACTCCATGGAGCTTATTTCTGAGTATATATGTACAAAATTGCACTTTAAAAGTTTTTTTAAAAAATGCTTTAATAAAAAGCTTGAAAAGTTGTACCTCAAAATATACTCATACAAATGGTGTAGCTATGAGTACTTAATTGCAAATACAGAGGTTTAAGACAAGGAAACAACATTTAAAAACAACTTGAACTTTCATCAGGTGCAGATTATTGCCAATCAGGTTGTTTTAGCAAAAGAAGTGGGAGGTGACAGAATTTTAAAAATATGGTCGCCATAAAAATAATGAAGACACCTGTAAAGCACGATGAACAATCCGATTTTATTTGGGATAAAATGTTAGTACGACCCCTCCCTTTCAATTGCAGATCTGGATGAAACACAGTTATTGACACTATGTGTCTAACATTACAATGTGAAAACTAGTTTTTAGATTTATTATCTTGTTACTACCTATATCTAAAAACAGAGTTTTCAGACAGTCTGAGAGCAACTATGCATTCATATGATTTGAATCACAGCGTGACTCAAAAGCGAAACACTATAGATATTGAATGAATGAATGAATGAATGAATGATATTAAACTTTAAGCAAACAAATGAGGGATGAATGATATGCTACCTTCTGACACATTTACAAAGGCAGTACAAACAGAAGCGCGTTTGAAAAAAAGCATACTTTCATGAAGCATGTCAAGGAATGTTAGGACGTTACGAGAAGTACATTTTAATAAAAGAAAGCTTGCTTCCTTTAGTTAGCTATTACCAAGAAAAAAAGGGCCACGGAAGAGGCATTTTCCTCATTTGAAAATGGTGACCTGATGTGTTCTGTACAATGTTGCATAATAGCCAGAGGAACCCAAGTGGGGCTGGGCCACTGAGAAACAAGATAGAGGTGTTGAAAGGCTTTAAAAGGTACCCCTGCCCGTACGGGCCAGTCTTGACAGACTCTAGGGTTGTGCGCCTATCTCACTCAAGAGGCCGGGGGCTAGCGCTGTCCGCAGACACTTCCGGGTCACGTGGCCAGCGTGACATCGCTGCTCTGGCGAGCCAGCGCAGCACACGAAAACGCCGTTTACCTTCCCGCCAGTAAGCGGTCCCTATTTATCTACTTGCACCCGGGGGTGCTTTCGAACTGCTAGGTTGGCAGGCGCTGGGACCGAACAACAGGAGCGCACCCCGCCACGGGGATTCGAACCGCCAACCTTTCGATCGGCAAGCCCTAGGCGCTGAGGCTTTTACCCACAGCGCCACCCGCGTCCCTGTTGAAAGGCTTTAGGAAGCACCAATGTTCTCAGAAGCACAAAAAAACAACAACCCACCACCAAATGGGGTGATCCTCCAAAATACACCCCAATGAGGACTTAGTGGTCAACAGGAGTTACAGAATATTGCATGTCAGTTGGGGTGGAGAACCAGGCAAGGGGACAAGAGACAGAACTGGCCTGCTTTTGCTGAACCCCAACTGTGCATTGTAATGTTCAGAAACATGTTTACAAATATTCAACTGGATAAAGAAATACCACTCCTTAGGCATGCAAAAAAAATATTTCACCTATTCATATACAAACACTGCATTTTCCATGAAATATTATTACTATTACTATTTTGATTTTCTATATCACTATTTTAAAGCCTTAAAATTAAAGGTGACAATATTTGGCACAGCCAAGGTTTTATTAATAGTATATTATACTGCTGATTGCCAACTCAATAGTGAAGCATTGGTACGAGGGAGTAAGGTCAGATGTGTGAGGCAGTTACTCTGACAGATGATCTCTTGCCCATGGCAACAATACAACAGACTAAATAGTTCAGCACTCACTTAAATATAAGATCAAGTGCCATGTAATGTCTATAAATAACAATACTACTTCACTGTGCACAATTTCATTTTCAACTGCTGAAATGAAATATAGTGCTATTAGACTAGTATACAACAAAATGCTGGTTCTTCAGCAGAATATTAACACACTCTTATACAGTAGCAGTTCTTTATTTCCTGTCCATGTGGAAGCTGAAGGAATTTATCATGCTTAAATAAAAAAATAATTATGGTAAATGTATGAGATACTTTAGTCCCTTAAGATCCCCCAAAGAATCATGGGCTCAGGCTAGAAGTAGAGAAAGAGCACAAAGCATTCAATAGCCACATTTTATTTTATTTTGGTGAATTTGTGGAATACAGTTAAAGCTTTAAATCCTCTCATGATGAAAGGCAGAACAGGAAGGATTATGCTGTTATCATTTCTTAAAATGACTGAGAAAGCTAGAATGTGCACCATGAAAATCAGAACAGGTGCATTAGAGGCCCGGTTACAACTTCAGAGGGTTAGTTTCCTGCTGTAGTAGCTAGCCTTTCATCTCTCAAGAGCTCAGATTAAATGGGCTGTGAAGCTTCTTAATTAAAATGAGCATTCTGGGTTGGCTTGGGTCATCTTCTCATCTGCTGCACCATAAGCCACTCAAAAGTCAGCACAATTTCAGAGTTGTGTGTGTGTGTGTGTGTGTGTGTGCTGACATACACATAGAAACACCAAACAAGAGCAGTTATAGAACCTGGGAAGGAAGTAGCACCTTGAAGCACCATCACATCCTATTTACACCCATCTATTTATTTTAGTTCGGCTAATTTTTGCATCAAGTAGCATTACTCATTATATGTCATAGATTTGTGTCTTGGCTGGCTTCATGGTTTTCCCCACGTGATTTTTGGATAGTGTACACACCCACACCCACCCACCCTTCTCATGATTTGTGAGATCAAAAATTATGAAACCGATATCACAATAAGGACTTCAAGCTGGTTTGGGACGATATATTGCTTTATCGCCCAGCCCAAGCTCTGGATAATGCCATTGGGGTAATTGGGACGCCATACTGGGACTCTTTAAAGTAAAACTACTAAGTAATGAGGCAGAAATGGCTGTGAGAGATAGAGACATTCCCACATTCCAAGACAGCAAGAGACTTCTGCATGGACAGTTCCATGCAGTTCGGAATGATGATGGCAGCAACCAGACCCCCCAAAAGGCACAATGAAGATAAACACACAATAAAAACCAATAGTTAACAATGCAAAATTCACAAGCCATTACCTTCAGGTACAATAAAACTAGGGTTGCCATATGTCTGGGTTTCCCCAGACATTTAAACCGTACTATCCTTGCTGCTAAACAGCACTGACTGTAAATCAACTAGCCTGATAAGAAGACCCTGTCTCTGAACTATATTTAAACTAGGGAATGGAAGAGAATTTCATTCAGTATGCAATTTTAAGTGAACTGGCCCGATTCTCATCTCCCAGACTAGCACATGGTCTGGAACAATACAGCCCTTGACTCAAAAACTGTACCAAGTGTCAAAAATATATATTTTAGGATAAAATTGTTTAGAAATATGTTCAATGAGATAAAACACATATTTTAATATGAATTTTTGGGTGGATTTTTTCCCTCATTTTAAAAAAAACAGTTTAATGTGGAAACAAATTCATGAATGAACCCATGCAAAATTGGCACCAACTGGAAATTAATTAAGGACAGATGGAAGAGACTAACAGAGGTTACTGTAGTCCCCTAAACTTCAGCAAGGCTAACTAGTACAGTGGTACCTTGGTTTACGAATTTAATCCGTTCCGGAAGTCCGTTCTTAAACCAAAGCATTCTTAAACCAAGGTGTGCTTTCCCATAGCAGTGGGGGACTCAATTTACAAATGGAACACACTCAACAGGAAGTGAAACATGTTCTGCTTCCAAGGAAAAGTTCACAAACCAAAACACCTACTTCTGGATTTGCAGCGTTCTTAATCCAAGTTGTTCATAGACTAAGCTGTTCTTAAACCAAGGTACCACTGTCGTTGAATTAGCTTTGTAAACTATTTTTATTTTTTGCCTTTTAATAAGTAGGAAGTGAAATCAAAGTTATGTATTAAGTCTAGATCTAGATTATTTCACTGCATTACTGAATCTATCCTATATATATCCACACCCACACAGGTGCATTTACTATCAGACCATATTTCTCTCTTTATTCCCCACCTTTTTAAAGCACTGTAGCAACACCTGAGCTGATTTTGAACTGCCTGCACCTCGTCTAATCATAGCAACCTATGTGAAGTCGGTGTCAAATGCTACCGTTTTGATCTGATAGCACCTCTTTTGCAGAGGTATATGTTGCAATGGAGAATCTTGTCCTAATTAACTAATCAACCCTCAACAGCTTTTTGCTATCACTCTTTGTCATGGGGT